CAGGGCATGCAAATTATGCACAAAAAAAAAGTGTGACTTATAGGGCGGAAAATACGGTATGTGGCCTCCACTATAAATTAGAAGAAAAAACTTTAGTTTCAAAATAACCAGATGCTAAATAATGTACTTTTTACTGAGAGACTTTGAGTTACTAATAATAATTATAATAATGTGTATGTATTGTGATTATTGTATGTTCCCATACAATGGTGAAATTGGCTCTCTGCATTTAACCCATCCACCACCAGGTGGAGCAGTGGGCAGCTGTGGAAAGAGCCCGGGGAGCAACTGGGGATAATGTGTCCTGCTCAGAGACACCAAGAGATGTGCAAAGACGTTCGTGGGGATCAAACCTGGGACTTTCAGGTCCCGAGTTGGCTGCCCTGCCTTTACACCATCTCAGCCCACAACTGGCTTCGTAATGCAGAAAACACATCCTTGCATAGGGATTTAATTTTTATCCCATGAACCTTCAAAATTGTTGCTGTCTGACTGAAATAAAAAACGCACAATAGACATTTTCCAAACCCCTCAGGACTGCAGTTAAATAAAGCTACAAAGCTTTAGCTATTTTGCCCCAAAAGCATATGGCCTTTTCTGCCTAATGAACAAGTATCAGACATAAATACATAAAGTAAACAAAGAAAACTACCGTATGTTATCAGTTGCTGACAAGTGAAGATTCGTGTCGCTACAAGTACAAGTGTCTTTTACACACAACTGAAAGAAAAACGCTCCAGGTGGGTAAACAGTAATTGTCTCAGATGAGATAAAAATTGCATAACACAATGTTAACACACGATGAACTAACCCAACGCTGATTAGCAGTTAGATCACAGCTGGATTCATGTTTCTGAGAGCTTCAATTAGACTGCAGCACAGCAGCAAACTATTTTCTCTTTTTTGTGTGTAAAAGTCAATATTTGATTGTGCATTTGTGGGTAAATATGGCATGGTATACAGGTCACACTTACTGGCAAGCCTGTGGGTCCGGGGCGACCTCTGGGGCCATTCAGACCTCTGGGACCCTATGGAATACACATCATAATCACATATTACAAAATATAGCAGTTTTTATTTAACAGACTATTAAAAAACCAAATCAGCAGTCTAAAGAATCAAGAAGCCAGCAGCTATGGGAGTGATGGAGCTAAACCAGTACGATCATCATAGGTTTATGGTGTATTGGTTGGCACATGAACTGTTATTGTTATGGTAATGTGAATTATTTATATTATCTGACCTTTACACATGATATAGTCTGTGTCATAAGATCTGCGTTTTAAGAAAATTGTATTGTTAAAGTGTTCAGGATGTGTGAACCAAAGATTATAATAATAATAATATAAATAATGTGTTATTTATTGTCATCGGTGCATGTTCTCATGCAATGATAAAATTTGTGTTCTGCTTTTGACCCATCACATGTGAGATACACCCAAGTGGAGCAGCAGGCAGCTTTATATGTGCCCGGGGAGCAGTTTGAAATTATGTGTCTTGCTCAAGGACTCCACGACATGTGGGCATGTTGGGGAATTGAACCTTTCTTGTCCCAAGTCCACTGCCCTACCACTGCTCCACAGCCGCCCCAAGTGTATTGTGATTTAGAACGTCATATTTAGATTATTGAATTTCATGAACCATCGTTGTGACTCCAGTTCTATTCAGTGGGGCAGTCTTCAGCTATTGGTTCCTAATGCACATGGACCCCACCACCAGTACCACCAGCACCCAGAGAGTTCCTGGAATCTGACTGGTTTGTAGGTTGGAGCTTGTGTAAACCAGGACTGTTAGAATATATAAAATCCTTGCTTTTGTATGTCACATAGCCGCAACATCTTCAACTTCCTGTAATCTGAGGAACGGACGACCCGCAGTTGTACCATTTTTGTTTTGTTTTTATTTCGTTATTTCATTATTTTATATAAGAAATGTCACAAAAAGACTTAGATCTTGAATGTACCACCATCTCAGAAAATCCACAACAAATAGTCATAGCTAATATAAAAAATAACTATGTTCTAGCCTTTATTCAAAAAACGTTCTAATTGATTCAGACAATTAGTGTCTAATTTGTGCAGCAACATAAAATAAAATAGAGTTTTAATTTTGAGCATTCAGGCAAGAATGTTACATTTCTCTGTACGGCTGTAGGTAAATTCTGCACTGTTTTCTAGAAATAAAAAAACAGCTCAAAGTCCTTGCTAAAGTGAATACCAATGACAGAGTTATGGTACTTTCTATTGTTCACAGACATGCCATTTTGATTATCTCTGACAAAATATCCCTCAATGCTAGAGGAACTTAAGTCAGGATGGCAAGTTTCAATAATAGCATATTTAGCAACACTAATATTGAATCAACACACATTCTACAGTGAATTTAACTTATCTTTGCCGCAAGGTCAAAATTATTACTGTACACAGCTATTGTTGGTGTTTCCAGGGAGCAAAGTGATACTGAGCATGAGCCAAATAGGCTACTTCTCTGTTCTTCTGTTGTATGAGGTAGGACCTAGGAATGCAGACTGACACGAGGAGCTCCAAAACAAAATTAAACTTGATCGTAAAAACCAAAACAAAAGGCTGACATGGCAACAAACTTACAGCTGAAACTCAAACACAAGAAGGTACAAGGAGACTCGAGGAGGTATGAGATTTGAAAAGGCACAATGGGAACCAGGCACTGTGAGAGCACCCATAATGCTCCACTGAGGAGCGAATGAGCAACTATATGGACTGGGGCTAACATGGAAGTGACTGCAACTGGGACAGGTGACAGAGAGAGCAGATGTAATCGGGCGTGGCAGGTTGACTGAGAAGACACAGAGGGGTCAAAGATACCTGACAAACAGAAACTGACTGATCGCACAGAAAAAAAAAAACACAGAGATTGAACAAAGCAAAGAACAAGCAAACGTAACAAAAAGGTAAAATAAAACCAACAATATGCACAAAAATCATTTAAAAAAATAGGAAAAACCTCTGTGACCTATCATCTGTCCACACATTCCCACCAAGCATGTTTTTAAAAGCGTCTTTGTTGGAAAATCTTGAAAATGTCAACTTTTCTCCAAAAAAAGTGTATGGATGAGAGGTGCAAACACAGAAGAAAAATGTGTTTTCAGAAACATTCAGAGTAGTGTAGACGAGGTCTTCACTGCTAGCTTTCTAACTTGTAGCTACATGTGTTGCACTGCTAACGCTCGCTTGCTAACAATAACAAGTGGGCATTTGGTGTGCTCATTTTATTAATGTCATTTTATATAGCAGCACTACAGCTAATTGTTTTTTTTGTTTGTTTTTTTGCTTTTGTTTGTGTGAAGTTATTGTTACAATAAGTTGCACTATCATTCTGCTACCACAAGAGGGAGCTGCAGCCTTTTCTCTACTAAAGGTCTATGAGTTGACACTGATTTTTAAATAGTTTTCATGAGACTATGAGAGTTTGTTGCCTTTGTTTCCTTAAATATGCCACTCTATTATGAGCATGTCTTCTGTCACAGTTAAAGCATTAAATCTGTAAAGATCCTAAATCAACAGGTTAAGTTGTACAAATCATGAAAACGTTTATTTTTATTTAAAATATATATATATATTACTGTGTATGAACACTTACAGCATCACCTGATTGTCCTCTCGGTCCTGATGGTCCCTGGGAACCCTGTAACATAAAAGGAAATGCTTGGCTTATATTTACAAAAAAAACTTTGATACATTCAGTTATGTATAAAAATGGCATTTCACCTTTTCCCCTGGCTCGCCTGAAGAACCTGCAGGGCCCGGTTTCCCTCTGTCTCCCTGGAAAAGAAAAAGCAGTAGAAGGTGACAATCAAATAATCCACTCAGCGCCACTCACTTGTTCGTACAGATCCCTTACCTTGTGTCCTTTGTTCCCAGGAAGACCAGGCAAGCCGTCAAAGCCCCTATCTCCCTGATAAGAACATGAAAAACAGAAGTAAACACTAATTTCATGAAGAGTGAGCAGATGAAAAAATATGATTGTAACAATAATTTCACCTTTGCTCCAGTCTCTCCTATTGCACCACGGCCCCCATCTGCACCTGCTCGACCCTGACAAACATACATGCATGCTACAGTAATGTACCACTCATAATGTACATACTATATCATCTAAAGTAAAATTTAATAGTCATTCATCAGAATCAGCCCATCATTTTATAAAACTTGACTTATTTAAAAAAAAGTAAATTGTCTCACCCGTTTCCCAGGCCGTCCGTTCTGACCTGGGATTCCCGACAGCCCTGGAGGACCCTGGGGAAAGTGGGGGACAGATTTTACTAAAAGTAAACAGACACCTTATTTTACAAATTACTTCTGAAAAATGCAAAGGATGATGTATTTTCATGCCAACTGGCTGACTCACTGGTGGTCCCAGGTCCCCACTGCTCCCCTTTAGACCAGAAGGACCTGATGCACCCTGAGACAAACAACAAAAATTATAGTGTCTGTCAATATGTTTAAATTCAACCTTTAGATGTTTGAGGTGGAAAAGAAAAAGAAAATGCAATTTACAGAGTATCCTTCATGCACACATGATGAATAGCATAAAAAAAGTTAATTTTAAAAAGAAGCAAGAAATGTATGAAATCTCATAAAGGTGCATTAAATGTATTTGAATACTTCAATACTACTGACAATCATGCAGAAAGGTTTATGTCTGTTTATTTCTATATATTATAACATTCAGACGTGTCTGTATGTAAATTAATATCAATAAACTGTGTCTACTGCAAATCTTTTGCAAGAAAATACGAAATATTGAGCTGGACTAAGAAGTATTATATAATTCTTTATGCCTACAGGTCCTTACAGCCCATCCAAACAAGTCAAATCAAAGTGAAACATGATTAAGTTCCCTCACCAGTGGTCCAGGTCGTCCCCTGAGACCCAGCGGCCCCGGAGGCCCCTTCATTGCCAGCTGGAGGAAGAAGGAAGCTTTAATAAGGATTTGATCGCGCTCACAAGGGCACAAAGAGGCAAACATAAATAATGTGCTGTGTTTAGGATGGAAGAGGAATGAGATGTTTGCGCACCTTAGTCTGCTGCAGGATGGCCTGGGCCTGAGCCTCCTGTGCAGAAACCACAGCACCTGTTCCCGGGTCCCCACCTGACTGGAACTGCAACCAGAAGATCAAACTCACCACTCCATAGTGGACACAACTGAGCACGTATGTCCAAGTTTTGCACAAAATAGAAATCAAACTGAAGAAAAAATGTTAACTTGTTGGAGAAGCATCCATGTTTATTGCCTCCACACAGGACTCATGGGTTTAAAACAATGTAAATCCAGAACTATATACAATCACAAGGTCTGAACTTTATTTAAGGAGATCAGACAAATAAATATTGAATTCTCAATTTAAAGAACAGAGAGCGTGGGGTTCGAGTTAAAACGCAGAGCTAAGCTACCGTATTTTTCGGACTATAAAGCGCACCGGATTATAAGGCGCATTAAGCGAAACTAAAACATTTTGACAGATTTTTGAGCGCCGTGTACCACATAAAATCAGTTTGAGGTCAGTAAGCACAACCAGAATTAATACATAAGGCTCACTGTTGATTTTTCAGAAAAATAAAGTAATTTAAGTGTGCCTTATAGTCCGAAAAACATGGTAGATACATATGCAGATTGCCCTGTCAATCCCCACAATAGGGGTTCGTTAGAGTCTTTGACAGAAAGCTCCTCGGATGAGAACCAAAACGTCTTCTGTTACAAATAAAGTCCAGTTGTTTGTTGTCTTGAACTTTTTTGAATTTACCATGTCCTGGATGAGTGAGAATCTTCACCAGCGTATCAAATGAATATGTTCTGAAGAGAAACCTGGATGCAGGTGTCAAAGACAAACAGCTGTTTTGTGTGTGTGTGGCTCAGCAGGCTCGTTTTTCAGTAACAGCATTCATACTTTTCCATTTGCCTTGAGGCTCTGTTCGGGTTAATAGGACCTCAGTCACAGCAAGCTAACAGCACCTTGGGAGCACAGTAATCTGTTGCTGTTACCGGTATGAGCATGATGTTTCCTGGAGGTCCTGGTATCCCATCGGCTCCATTAAGGCCCGGCCGTCCCGGAGGACCCTGACAGCAGAGAGGAGCTCAGTCACGGGAGGGGGATGTCAGTGTAATCAGTAACTCCATCAGCAAACAAGAAGGTAGACTTTACCAACTCTCCAGGGTCTCCTCGAGGTCCCGCTGGTCCCGTGATACCCGGAGGTCCCGGTTCTCCCTGCAAATGTGCAGAAAACTGTTTTTGAACCTGAAGAAAATGTGTTTCAACTTACAAGTCGTGCAGCAAACTTCACCAACCTCGGGTCCTGGGGGCCCATATGGTCCTGTAATCTGTGTTCCCTGTAAAAATTCACCAAAACAAACAAGGTTCTGTGGTTCGAGTGTTAACATTCAAACACACATCGAGCATTACCTCACTGTTTAAGGTTAATATTTAAGAATGCTCATGTTTATATACGATAATAGGAAACAAAAAGGAAACACCTCTGAAAAAAGATCCATTTGATAAGCTTATTTAACAATTATACAACTATACAAAAAGAAGAATATTTGACTTTTTACACAAACAATCAACCTTTTTGAGACATTAAATCCAGACTCAATTTTATTTCCATTTTGTTAGCTGTTTCCAACCTTCAGTGAGAATTATGAGTTAAAAGGTAAATAAATCTCTTTACAGCTTCTTGTATTTTACCTCAAAAATTTTAGAACTGTTTCATTCGTTTTATAGTAACAGCTTAAAAATGTACACTTATTTCTGGCACGCTAAGATGAGATAGATGTCTATATGAACTTTGTCTAGCTTTAGGTAAACTACCATAGATTAGACAATAAAACATGTTTGTTTGGGTTTTTTCAAATTCAAATTCAAAACTACTTTATTAATCCCAAAGCGTCTTTGAGTATTTAGAAAAGTGCTATACAAATAAAATGTATTATTATTAAAGGGAAATTAAGTGTTGTCATAGCTCATGGCTTCATTCAAGAGTTGTTATAGATGCTGATAGCTGTGGACAGGAAGGATCTTCTGCAGAATCTGAAGAATCTTGCCACAGATACTGATCCGTCCACCCAGATCCAGCTTGCTGTCATATCCGGCGGGCCTCTTGGTCCTCCTGGGCAGCAGGACCGCCCAAATGCCGGGCAGAATTCCTCCCTGAGCAATGATCACTCCACCCAGCAGTGTGCCGAGTTCCTCGTCCCCACGGACAGACAGCTGAAGGTGCCAGGGGATGATCCCGGTCCTCCAGTTGTCATGAGCAGAGTTTCCCAACAGCTACAGGATCTCGGCAGTCAGGTACTCGAGCACCGCTGCCAGGTTGACGGGAATTCATCCATGGCGCCTCCTTTTCAACTCATTTGGGATTTGGGGCTGTAGTTGAGGTATTTGAGCTTTTGAGATGTTAATCAGCTGATAAAAAACACCTTGTTGCCATGGTTACGCATCATCTCAAATGCCCAAAAGTAAAAAGGTTTCAATAAAGATCCTTCCAGCTGCACAGCATTAATACCAGAGGAAATAATCTTCTGAAAAAAGTGATTTACATCCAGAAAAAAGAGGAATTAAAGATTTTAAAAGCAATATCTCAGAATGAAAGTAACAGAGCTACTCCAACATGCTGCCACCCCGAGCAGCGCAATTCTAGAACACCAGAACTGTTGAATTATTTCCTGTTGCTTCTCAGTTTTCCATCCGATTTTTAAACTTAACACCAAAGATCTAATTAAATATGAACAAAACAAAACTTTAATGTCACCCTCAGCATAAAATGAGTAATATGTTTTAGGACAGATGCACTGTGGGGAAATAGCTTTTCTGTTTTTATCTTACCATGCCCAGAATGCCCGGCTCTCCTTTTTCTCCTTTTTCAGGTAGATTCTAAATTTAAAAAATGATATTAGAGAAAAAAATAATGAGCACAATGCAAATGATAAAATATATACAGTAAATATATACAGTATTATTTTTTATCCTCAAATAATTAAAGTTTGAGTTGCACCTGTGTGTTCAGAGAGTGCTCTCGTTCTCTCTCTGCAGGCCCGTAGCGCTCGTCGTATTCGTCCTCATATTCGTACTCGTTCACATGATACAAGTGTGTGTTGTTGTCATAGTCTTCGTATTCAATGATCTGTCCGAAGCACACAAAGGCAAACGATGAAGGACCAGACCAAACAGAAAGACTGCAAAGATAAAGCTTCAGCTCCTGCTGCTGAGTCTCACCTCGTACTCCGTCACATTCGGACCCGATGTCACCGAGGACACAGAAAGGTCGTCGAAGAGGTCGCTGTAGTCAAACTCCTCAAACTCTTCCACCACACGCTTCTTAAATGCTCTCTCTGTCTAAAGTCCACAAAAGAACAAAACATAAAGAGGAAAAAGCTCAACAAACATCTTCAGAGCTGTGGAATTGATACATCAACATGGTGACTTTAAAAAACAGGAGAATTAAAATTTGAAGATATGAAACATTTATAGATTTTAGACACAAATCCACCACCAGACAGTCTTAGTGAACATTCAGTTACATTAAAAAATCATCATGTTTTTTATTTTAATTTTATTTTTTTATCATATATTCTGATTATGGCTCTGCTAAAGCTGGTCTAATAGTTTAAAATGTTCAGGCTTGTAATAAAAGGACTGTGAGACATAGGCGTCACAACAATTATATGTGATGGGAACGTGTCGCCCTCACATTTAAAAAATATTTATTTGGAAACCCCACACACACACACAAATTTACCATGAAATATTAGTTCACCCAGTGCTGTTTCTATTTCTTCGTGAACAAATCCATTCCACTTGATTAATAGGAGAATACTCAAACCTCTAAAAAATCCACTCCGGGTTTTCCTGGTTACCAACAACTCACCACACCACATGCAGTGTTTCCCTGATGTCACTTGATGGAGCGGGGGAAGGAGGGGGAGACACCTCTCTGTTGCTAGCTTAGCGCCACATTAATGTTGTTGATCACGGGTGGTGGAGGGTTTAGGATGCATGAGAGAAGTGCAGCGTTACGTCTGTAGCATCTTAGCTAGCACGTCTGTATTGTACGTCACTATCTTAGCGCTATGTTAGTTCCTGCAGTTCTTAACTGGGGGGTGGGGGGGAGACACAGTATTGTGCCATGCTCTTTAAAATAGTTGTTGAATCAACTGTTTTTTGTTATGTAGTTAACTGTAGATGTTTAACAACTTGTTAAAATACACCAGAATGCAGGAAATGGCATCTACTTTATTCAAAGTTTTCTGGGGGAGGACCCCCAGACCGCAGCACGGTGGCGCAACTGGTAGAGCTGCTGCCTCTCAGCGAGCAGGTCCCTGGTTCAAACCCAGGTCCAGGGGCCTTTCTGGGTGGAGTTTGCATGTTCTCTCCGTGCATGCGTGGGTTTTCTCCGGGTACTCCGGTTTCCTCCCACAGTCCAAAAACATGCATGTTAGGCTGATTGATAACTCTAAATTGTCCCTAGGTGTGAGTGAGAGAGTGAATGTTTGTTTGTCTCGTTTGTCTCTATGTGTCCCTGTGATGGACTTGCGACCCGTCCAGGGTGTACCCCGCCCCTCGCACAGTGATTGCTGGACATGGGCACCAGCGACCCCCGTGACCCAAAATGGAATAAGCGGGTAAAGAAAATGGATGGATGGATGGATGGACCCCCAGACCCCTCCGTCAATGTGCCCCCCCCCCCCCCACACACACACACACACACACACTACAAATGCTTCTGATGCCAGTGCTGTGAGATTTTCCCTTTGTGACGTGAACACATCTGGAGGTCATCAAGCTGGACTTCCACGAAAACACACTGGAGTTCGGTTCTGGGGTTTTTTTCCTCACTCGCTCTCATACGAGGCGAACGCATTCTCTTCCCAGTCCTGTTCTCCTGCTTTTTTACTCATCTTCTGTGTATCGGAGCTCCTATTTTACACATCTTCTGAAATGAATACTACTGTCGTGGATCTGATCAGCTGGACTTTCAACGCAATCGACAAAATTTTTCAACAAAGAGACAGGGTCCTGGAGAGCCCTCATGTCCCGGTGAGAATCTCCGGAGGATGCCAAAGACATATACAATTGAATTTACGATAACAGGTTTCCTTCTTTTTGGAATCAGCTGGTTCCTGGTCTATCAACATACAAGGAAACAGCTGCAGCTAATTTGGCCCTCGTCAGGTTGCCTGCTTGTGAAGGTTTGGTTCGTGCTTTGAGGACTCAAAATCAGCTGATTTATGAGCTAAACCGTAAGATGGAAGTGATTTGTGAGAATCACAGGCCACCTGAGGCTTTGGGACACACCAGCAAGTGGGAAACAATCTTGGAGGGGCTTGTAAGCACAGACCAGTAGAATGCACCCTAATCTGGCCATTTTGGATCTTGAAAGTACCAATAAGACTCAAGGCTGACAAGAAAAAACAGTCTGCCTGAAAAAATCAACAGTTGTGGCTTAACCTTATCTGACTCCCCGGTTGGCCTCCTAAACAGGACGACATGTCAATTTCTCCTGGGAAATGTGTAAACTAAGGAAAAGCTTTGTCTATTGCAAACCCCTCCCGCCCACCCGCCGAGAACTTCTGTGGAGGCTTATCAGAACTGTGCCAGCTGACCATCATCTTACCACGACTATGGTCTATCTGGAAGTGCTTCACCTTGATGTCAAATGCATATGTAACGTGTTTATAAATGTGCTTGCTGGCAGTTTTTTGATGTCGTAAATTGTGTCCTGATAGGACAAGGTGTGAAGAGATCTTTTTTGTGATGCCACTATCCTCTCCTCATGGATTTTCCCCCTTTTCTACCTAAAAACTTATTCTGAAAAGGCCAAGTGGCCCGCTATCATAGCAGCAGCTACGTGAACTCCACCCATCTTTTGGACAAATGTATGAACATATTCTCGCTGTATCTCAGTACAATAATAATAAAGCTTATTCTGATTGTCATTGTGTAGCTTTAAGTCTTCCACAATCAATCAAACTGCTGACTCTGGCCTCAGCAGTTTGTCAACCTTTCACAATAAAGGTCTCATCAAAAACATGAGCATCCTCCCTAATGGAGAATTAAAAAAGCATTAAAAGTGTTTTCAAATAAAGCCATAAATAAAGCTTCATCACTGCATCATAGAACAGAAGAAACAGAAAACTTTCTTCATTCTGAACTTAATTTTATTGTTTGTTGTGTACAGTGTATTTAATTGTGGAAGAAGCTTTGTTTAGCGTACAATGTCCAAGACAAATTTCCCCTTGGGAACAATAAAGTATACATCTAATCATCTAATCTAAATTGTACTCCGTTGTGGAACAAAAAGGAGTAATTGGAAAGTCCCTCTGTCCATCCATCGTGAATGCTGTGAGTGTGATAACTTTAAAAATAAGTAAGGTACAGACTTCCATTTTGGTATGTGGCTGCTTATAGGTGAAAGAAAGTTTCCTTATGAGCATTGGACTGCCACGTCAAAATCCAAGGTGGCCAACACCACCAAATATATGTAAACCGGCTACCCCATCACTTGCTTGTTTGTTTTTATTTTTGTACAGCACTTCGGTCGGCTGCTATATTGTATTTTAAGTGCTTTAGAAATAAATTGGTACGGTATGGTATGGTATGGAATGGTATGGTAATTGAGGAAACTACGTTTTGTAGTTTTATATTGCTTAGATTAATTTCTGGGGCCAAGGTCACCATTGGCCACCCCCTAGCTCCGCTATTACACCTGGTGGTGGATAAAATTGCTCCCTTTGCTTTCCAGGATCCAACACTCAGCGCCTGCTCGACAAGAAAACAACCTACCTCTCATCACATACAGTGTAAAACCTACCTGTACTTGAATATCTCGCACCATAATCATTAAGGTTTACGTGTGTTCCCTGTTCAATTCCAGTCCAGAAAACCACTCATCTCAAAAACAAACAGTCACTATTGAAATCCTTCAGCAATGGGGGGACATTGGCATGCTGCTTGTTTTAAACTACTTTTTAACCGTAGCACATTTCAATCACGTTTTACTTAGCACCTCTGCTTTATGTTTTCTTTTGCCTTTTAACATGAATTACAATTTTGGCCATCCTTTAGAGAAACAAAAATGAAAGCATGGGCTGAGTTGTAAGCCAAACAAGGACTAAAACAGCAGCATGAGGAAGTGATTGAAACCAGAACCAGAACCTGGCAACACAAAAAAAAGAAGAAGCCGAACCACAAACACATGTAATGTGCTTTGATACAAAAAAAGGAAAACAGAATGTAAAAGCAGAATTAGCATAAAAAATGGAGCAAGAGAGAAGCTTCTAAAAGCATCTCATGACAATATGTCTGTGAATGTGTTTGAGTAAAAATATACAGGATCGTGGTGATTACACAGTATTTATTTCATCATATATCAATCTATGATGTTGTGCTTATTGTGTCAGCTGAGGTTGTGGTAAACGTGTTATATAAATAAACTTTGACTTGACACAGTGTTAGTTGCTGGCAAGCAATCAACCCAATAAACACTTTCCACACTACTTATTTTATACCAAAAAAAA